GTCAGAGTGGGGGGGGGGGGTGTGGGGGGGGGGGGTGTAATATATAACCAAAAAGACCAGATTATACTTTGAGTCTGAGGCCTGAGCCTGAAATTTTTGCATATCCTACAAAAAAAGGAGCGACCACTCGGACTCAATTAGTAGCTTTTGATAAAGGGATCAAGTTTTTGTTAAAGTTTACTGTATCAAACAGTTTTAGTTGAAAACTAGAAGCCTTCTTCATTTTAATTGCATCTCACGTTCTCCTAATAATGAACCAAGAGTGCAGCAGGTGTAAACATTTACAGTCCCGCAACCTAGCTCTCCCCTCTATTGTTATTCCTCTGGACAAAACATCCACCAAAGAGTCAATTCTCATTCAGTTCACTTTAGTTGAGTCAAGTTCACTTATCGGATACGACAAGCAAACAGGTCAGTTTTTATAATAAGGCAATACTTCATCAATTTTTCTTGATACCCAGGTTGACCTCCATGTAAAAAAAATGCTTGTCATACAATTTTATCCCAGAAAAATGTTTACCATTCAATTTTATTCGAGAAAAGTGCTTGTCGTACAGTTCCATGCATTGTGTCTTTGCAAGAACAGGAAATTTTTTTCAAAGACCATTTATAATTTTTATTTCAATTCATTCATTTTGTTAAATAAAAATGAATGATTTGAGAAAAATATTCTATCAACTGAGAAAAATCTTTTAGCTGCACATCAAAAAAAGTTTGCATAAATTCAGGGGCGGATCTAGGATTTTCTCGAGGGGGGGGGCGGATTTTCAAAAAATTTTCGAAAACTTTGACGAACTTTTTTTTAGGTCGACCAAAATGATTTTCCGAGCTCTTCTAAAGCACTAAAAAGACGCTGTTTTGGCCAACTTTTCTACGCCGCAGGCAAATTTTTGAAAAAACAGGTCGAAAAAGACTTTTTTGGGCACTTTTTTGGAAAATTTCGGGGAAACTGCCAAATTTAGAACGGTTGAAAAATCCAAATTTCAATAACCCATTTGAATTTTTTTTACTATTGAGACCAGGTGTTGAGAGTTTCTACAATAGTGACAAAGAGCGCATAACATCTGTTTTTCATTCAAAAAATGATAACGTTCATAATTCATAGAAAAATTGATTTAGAATATGAGCCAACTCTATCATCAGTTCTTCCGTCTAAACTGAGGAAAAAATCCAGAAATACATCTTACACGCAGTACTCAGGCCTCTCTTTCTACCAAACGATGTCTAAGAGCGAAGGCGCAATAGACCGACTGGTTTCTACGAGTTTCAGTCACGGAATGAACGTTTCACACCTCGAAGAAGAAAATGAAAGTGACAACTATGATGTAATCATGGATCAATTGCATAACAGTTCTCTTTTTGGTACTTCCGGTTACAGCAATAGGAAACTTCCGACGGAGCGGAAAAAACTGCTAGGATCGCAGAATGAGCTTCATGCGACTAACAGTAGCGGATCAAATGGTTGTTCATGTGAGAAAAGCGGAAGTTGGAGCTCACGAAGTGGCACTTTGTCCCGAGTTTCCCCACATGGCAGGGACTCACAGTTTGTGCCGTTTTTGCCACTACCGCAGGATTGCGATATCAAAAACACTTGTGGTAAATTTATATGCTTTTTTTGAGATATTTTTTGAGGGTCTGGGCAATTTTCTTTTCTTTGGGCAATTATTTTCATCTTGTGTATAAGCAGAAGCGGTAATCAGTAATTTTTTTTGTTCCAAACCTTTTTTTGGTTAAATTAAAGCTTTTGGTCTACGCGCAATTTTTTAGTCAAAACCTTTTGCTCTCTTTTTGTACATCTTTAATCGGCAGATCGACCCCTAAGTTTTTCTTTAGGCGATTTTGGCGCCTCTACATACTAATTTGGTCAAAATTTTCAAAAAATGCCCAAAACAGCATTTATAACAATACTTTCACAATTTTGCTTGCGGCGCAGAACTTTTTTCATAACAGCCGGGTTGTTATGATATTTTTGAAGAACTTTGGAATTCAATTTGCTCTTGACAAAAAAGTAAGTCGACAAAACTTTTGAAAACTTTGTAAAGTCCGCCCTAACACCTCGAAAAGTTTCAGTAGCCACCACTGGGTGTAACAATATAAGCTTTTCACACTATTTTCCCAATTACTTGGTTCATGTTTTAAACTTCGATGCCAATTGTTGTTTTTAACACTGAAAGTTGGGAGGAGCTGTGCCTTCGGTTGTGTTGTTTTACTATAATTTTCTTTTTTTTACGCAAAATAAGGTACCACAAAGAATCATCGGAATTGGTTGAGTGATATACCACTATTAAAGCTATTTCTATCTTGAATGACATAGGAAATTTTGAAAACAAATACACTGGTCTGCAATCTGGTTTTTATTTGAGCTGTGAAAACTTATTTTTACTTCAATAAAATTAGCTTACAATTTTTTTAGCTTCCTTGTGGCTATAAAACTATTTAAAAGTTCAAAAAACGGTTCTGCAAAAAATGGAAATTTCAAAGAATTTTAATGTGAAATATGCTTTATTGACTAGCACTATAGAGTATGTTTAAGTTCTAAATTCTCGTTCTTATCTTTGTATCACAACAGAAAGAAAAACACAAAAAACGACTCAGCTTGAGAAAAGAATGAGCTAACTCATCCAGCAAAATTATTTTTGAAATTTTTGTTCTTATGCTCATTTCGAGAGAGTACAGCGAGCGAGCAGGCTTAAAATAAGATAATAAATTTTTAATAAAACAGTGACAATTTAATTTTTGTACAGCAAAAATTGAATGTTTTTAGCTTCTTCTTGGGAATAAAATTACTTTTAAAATTCGGACAAAATTTAGCAAAAACTTTGAAAACTTTATTTTTTATTTTTTGTATCGAAACTCATTTTTCGAAGAAAAAAATTGTTGTTTGAATAGGATTTCTTACTGTCATTGTCAATTATGCCTAAATTTTAAGTTTTGTAGATCCTCTGATCACATCAAAAAACGCCACAAATTGAGAAAAGAACTTTCTTTTTTCTTATCACGATGATTGACTTGCACAGTAACCCAAGTGTTCAGCTATCCGTGTTCAAATTTAAAGAAATGTTTTTTTTTCACACTTTTTTGGGAAATGAAGGATTATTAGAACTTGCTTTAGTTCATACTCTTCGATAGCATCAATCTGTAAAGTATATTCACTGTTGTTCAATTTAACTAAGAAGTTTTATTATTTAAGGTAAAAAGGACCGTTTGTACAAAAAACGGGACGCTCAATCTGTCTCCAGAACTCCTCTCATCCAAGCCAGGCCAATTTTTAGAAGCGAGCTTCAAATCGAGTCCCCCTCACCTGTCAATCAAAAACAGTTCTCATCCACTCCAACTATGGTCAGAAGAAGTCAAATTCTCTACCCCCGTGACCTTGAAAGGTCAACTGATGACCTTCGCAATTTGCCAGCAAGCCGAAGTTGTTCAACATCAAGGTTTCTAAACGACTCTTCGGTCGTCGGAAGTTCTCGTGGGTTGGGCTCGAAACGGTTTTCGGTCGCTGGCGACAGGTCGTCTAGCTGTTACGCGAGCAACAGAATTGAACAGAATAAGAATAGACCTTGCTCTATTATGATGCCAAGTGGAAACTGCCAGATGGAAAACTGCAAGCAAGTTTTGTTTTCAAAATTTCGAATGTAATTGACTCAGACCAACGTTTAGATCCCGAATAGAAAAATATGAGAGAGTGAGAAGTTTTTTTTACTACCACCGACGCAACACCTGTTGCAAAGAGGAGGGAGGGATGATTCGTTACTAGGGTGGATATGTTTGCAAGTTTAACCGCTATTCTAGACCTGTACAGGGTTGAATATTCTACAGACATTATAAGTCAAAGAAGGATAGCCGGTCTCTGTGCAAGTAGCCCAGAATGTTTCGAACATAGTCTTAAAAATACAAAGAAAGATTTTTTCTAGAACATTCTAGAACTAGGCATATTCGAAAGTCATAACAAAATAGGTAAATTGGAAAACAGTTTTTCTATCAAATGCTTAGAAAAACGAAAAAAGAAATCGTAAAAAAAATCAAACAAAAACTTTCAAAATTTTTTTTTCAAATTTTTTTCCACAAATTTTTTTGAATGAAAAAAAAATTTTGAAATGTTTTGATGGTCAATATGGCGGAAACAAACTAAAAAAACTAACTTTACTAAAGTAAAAAGAAACTAAGACAAGCATAAACAAGGATAGCCGGTTGCTGTGCATGTAGCACAGAATGTTCCGAACTTACTTCATAAAAATGTTTAACAAAAAGTTTTTTGAATTTTACCTTTTTTCAAGATATTGTCGTTTTTAGTGAGTGGCGTGATTGAAGAACTATACGATTGCATAGAAATTTTGTAAATTAGGCATTCTTGGCAACATTTGCCTCCAATAAAATAAAACAAAACAAAAATTTTAAAAAAATTTAAACTTTTTTTTAATCATTTTTTGCAAAATATTTTAAATTTTTTTGAAGTCTTTTTTTGTCAAACAAGTGCTAAATTAAGCGTCCAAAACTAGTTTTTTATAGTAAAATCTAGTTTTTCTTCCTAAAAGTCTAGAAAAAAGTATGAGTTTTCATATATCAAGCGTTACTCGACCGCGTTACTTATTAGACGAAAAACCAAAAATTTCAAACGGGTTTTTCTCGACACTGAGAAAACTTTTTCAAAGTTTTTGATGAAGTTTGAATCCCAAATAATAGGTCCAAAATATGATGTATCATTCGACACTTTCCGATGATAATTTATGGTACCTGATTTTGCGGTTTTAAAAACAAACGAACAAAACCTGAAACAAACAATAAAAAATGAACAAAAAACAATACATATCCGAATACAAACTTCTTCGCCATTTTTTAAGCAAAAAGCTAGTGATTCAAATATACAAATGCACACATCACAAGCAGAGAGGTGCACCAAACAATAAAGTTTAAAAAGTGTCTTTTTTCCTTAAAGAACACTAAGAATGATTCTAGCGTTATATCTCAAATTTCTTAATTTTCTTTTTCAGGATTTTGCCTTTGTCAAATAAATCAAGCCGTCAGTCAATGGCTCTTCCAACATCCAATGAAATTATGCGAACGCCCAAGCCAGTCAAGAAAATATCTGACAGTCCTTGTCTTCGGGTTCGAAGCCGCAACCTGGAACCTCCTCTAAGATCCAAATACGAAGTATGTAATAACCAGTTTAGTACACCCATGGTAGTTTCGACAAATTGCGGGAATTTCGGGACTCTGGAGAGAAAAGACTGGAATAGAAATGCCGATGCTCGCGAAATCATCAAAAATAGCGGAGTTGTCAGTTCATTCAAAACACCGGTAAGCTACGCCGTTTGTTTCATTTTTTTTTGAGTGGTTTTTCAAACTTCTGCTGTGTTACAAAAAGTACAAAAAATAGACTACCACACTTTAATACTATAAAGGATCAAAGAAATACCGCATAAGCATTGAGAAATTGATAAATTGAAAATTGTTAATATTCAAACGCGCTTGACGTTTCATCAAAAATATAGTTTTTAGATTAATCAAAAAAAACGTTGGCTTCAAAATTTTTAATGATCTTAATGTTTTAGCTAGTCTCAAAGCGAATGTTTCCAACCAGTACAATCAGTACAACTACAAGTACATGTTCGAATCTTCTTTTGGCTCCAACTTCGAGACTCGTTACAACTCTTCCCGCGTGTTCATCAATTTCGCACCCCTCCCCCAAAACGAGCCCGTTCCCATCCATCGGCAAATTTTCCAACTGGTACTTGCCTAGATATTCGCGACGATCGGGAAACGGATTGAACAACCTTACCGACCTTCTCAGTTTGAAATACTCTTCAAGCGTGCATAAATTAAACAGAGATGTGAATAATTTGATGAGGTTTTTGAGAGGCGAAAGCGTGGAACTGATTTTCGAAGAGAGTTTCAAGAGGAATCTTTATTTGTACGTGGGTGCTGATTTGATGAAGCTGGATAATCCACACGAGGAAATCAGCTACGCTGACACAGGTTTTTCCATTCAAAAAATAGGGAAAATCTAGAGACCATATGATTTAGTTAAGGAAATCAGACCGCATATCGTGTAATTTAGTTCCGAGCATTTTTTAGAAAGCACATTTTAAAAGCATATTTTGAAAGCACAATTACTTTGAAAACCCATGTCTGTGGCTCATTCATTTGACCTGGAAACAAAAACAAACCAAGATTTTGAAATATATATGCTGAAGAAGCGATGCTGTCATTTGAGTGTCTTTTGAGCTTGACGGAGCCGCTTAAAAAAACGATCGTGAAATCAGTCCAACCAAATAATTGTTCCGAATTTTGTAACGAAAATAACGGAATTTTTGTGCTCGTGATGGGTTTTTTCTTCAGACAAATTTCGTTTATTTAACTAGCTCGTTTTTGCCGGATTTTTTAAATATGATTCAAAAGGTATTGTTGTCCTGAGCTTAAATTTGAAGAGATATTTCACCTGTGATCTTTTTTCGTAAAATTATGGCTGATTTTTGTGAAGTCTTAGAAAGCGTTCCAAATTGGTTAAAGGCCGCTTGTTTGCAATAATTGAATTGTTACTAGTAGCAAAATCTGTCACTTTGCACTTTATATGGCGTATGATTTTCATAAAAAATCTCAAAAGAAAACTATTTTTCAGTTTATCACCATGCCTTAATTTATAGAGCATCCTATGGAGCAGTAATAACATGAAAAAACTGAATGTAATTAAAACAAAATGATTTTTTTTTATTTGAGATTTTTTGTAAGAATAATCCCCCACACGCCATATTACAAGCACAAATTGATAAATTTCGCTCCTAGAAACAAATCAATTATGGCAAATAAGCTTCCTTCAACCAATTTGGAACAATTTCTTTGACGGATTAAATCTCCGCTTAAGTCTTAATAGCGCGAAATATATCGCGTGTTAATTGTGCCAAATTGACCAAAATGGCAATTCTTAAACCCCCATCATTTTACGAAAAATGATTAAATGTGAAATATCTTTTTAATTTTAAGCTCAGGACAACAATAATTTTTGAATGATATAAAATAATTCTGTCAAAAGTAGTTAGATAAAAAATCGAAGTTTATCTGAAGAAAAAAACCTACCCCAAGCTTATGTATTCCGTTACTTTCGTTACGAAAGTCTTAACACTAATTGATTTGTTACTAGGAGCGGAATCTATCGCTTTGTACTTTATATAGCGTGTGTGGGGGGTGATTTTTACAAAAATCTCAAATTTAAGTTTTATGATTTTTTTGTTTCATTTTTTTAAATTTAATTTTATTCTTGTTATTACTGCTCCATAGACCTTAGAAGGCAGTCGAAACATTTAAGGCTTCACCCTGATACGAGCAGTGTTGTTTCTTTTAAGTCACGTTTGTGCCTATGTGCGGAATTTTTGTTTTTTTTTGAATTTTTAATTGATTTCTGATTATTCAAATAACAGAAAACAAATTTTTTGTTTTTTGATCAAAAAATTTCAGAACAAAACCTCTGATTTCATTCTGATCAGATATTTATCAGAACAAAACCTCTGACTTTATTTCGATCAGAAAAATAGCAGAATAAAAACAGTACTGTAACAGTACTGAATCAGTACTGTTACAGCACTGCGGCTTTTTCCCTGATTTATCTCTGATCGGAGATAAATTGCCACTTGCCAGAATCTGATGCAGAACTGATTTTTTACTAATACATTTTTGAGGAAATACTGAATTTCTCTGTGACTTCAACTCGCGGACATATAAACTCAGTTTTCTTTAAACTAAAGCCGATTTCATTTTGAAAAAACGACAATTGAGATTTAAATTGTAGGTGGTCCCGAAGAGTCCTTCCGTAAGCAGTACCTGTCAGTGCTCTCGCGACAACTGTCCAAATTAGGAAAACAGGACTCCACCCGACCTCACGCTATTCAGGGAAGAGGAGAAGTATGGGGAAACAGGTCAGTTCAAAGTACTGTAGTAGTTACACTTTACGATCACAACAACAAGTAAAAAATTAGGTTATTAATTTAAATAAAATGTATTCAAAACGTTTTTTTTTTCGCGAAGACGCGAAAAAAAATTTACTCAGAAAATAAGATTTTTCTTCAGATTTTCCGCTTTCTGGAAATATGCAAGACCTGAATGCCTATGGCCTATTTAGTATGAAAATTTTTCTTGTTCTGAATAAAACGTATATTTCAAGTTGGATCCTATTTTGTAGACTGAACAACACACTGACATTCATGGAAAATCTGCTCACGTAGGTGTGAATTGAAAAAAAACTTTTTCGCCAAAAATTGAACGAAGAATCATAGAATCACTGTCCATAAAACTTTTCGAAGCTAGACGTAAATGTTTAAGCTATAACAATTTAGTTTCTACCAATCAAAGTGAATTTATCAAAGGCTGCTGCCTGTTAATACAGTCTAAGGATAATACATTTATATTAGTTTTCCCATTCGACGTTGAGTTTTTTGTTGAGCAAGGCTCTTTCTGATGATTGGATGCCATTATCGGATGAATCAAAGTCCTACATGCAAAAAATGGCATCGAATCGCAAACAAAAAAGGTTTTTGAGGTTCAACAAAACAGTTTAATTTCAAATTGGAAAATTGATATCAATGTACCATCCTTAGACCTTCTTAACAGCCTTTGATAAGTCCACTTCGGTTGGTAGAAACCATTTTTTTAAACAATTTTGACATTTAATTCTAGCTTCAAAACGTAGTATCGAATGTGACTCTTTGACTCTCCTGTCATACCGTTCTTTGGTTAGTTTATGTTGGTACCTCCCATCTTAGATACCGCAATGTGGTGATGTGCCGGAGTGTGGACGAGGAACTGGGCATGCGTATTCAGAAGAGTGGTCCAGTGGTTGTGACTGAAGTAAAAGCAGAAGGTGGTCAGACAGCCGCTTACAGGGCAGGCATACGTGAGTATAGTCGTCTATCTCAGCGAAAATTTTGATGTACAATTATGTTAGGTACTCACATCACAGAATGCGGGAAGGATGTTCGGATAGTTAAACAAACATCCTTCTCACACCCATTTTTGCCCCTAGAGGCTTTGTTTTCCTCATAAAATCAGGTCATGAGGTTTGGTTGGACCGTGGAGTCCCTCGAAAAAAAAATTTTGAGATCCATCCAAATTGTTTTAAGATCCGCAAAATTTCAAATTTGTTTCAAAGTAGACATCTGATAAAAACAGGAGACATTTCATGAAACTACGTGGTTTCAAAACTTGTCATGACTTTCCTCTGTTTTCTTTTTTAGTTACAGTTTACTCTATTCCAATCTACACAATATCATTTTGTTGTGTTTCTTTCTACACTCCAGATATTTAATAGTTTTCTGCCATTTTAACTTAAGTTCAAATTATACCTGTTTGAATTATTCGGTACATGGGTCGACTACATTCAAAAATATTATCAAACAATTCGATTAATAGAGTCTATGGGAAAATAGTTATGTGAAAAATATTCAATTTTATACAAACAAACTTTCAATGACCTTGTTTTTAGATAATTTTGGATACATTTATTGTTATTTTTACGTGCCCCTGGATGAGAGCCCCATGTTGTCACTGTTGCGAATCTTACCATTCGTCTTATTTCATTTAATTAGTCTTAAAGTTTCTTAACTGGTTAATTTAGATATGACCTTGTTATCTTCATTCTCTCCGACGGAGAGAATGACCGCTCACTTTTTAATGTTTTAATTTAGAGATTAATTCACTTTTTAAACATATCTTATTTGTAACTAAGTAGAATTATCCCTAACAAAGAAACATTTTATCATGGCGCAGTCAAACAGCAACGAATCAAACGTGAGAGGTATACCTTCATTTTGGCAAAACCACACAGTGGACCCACCAATTCCTTGGGAAGAGTGGAGCGATCTATTCCAGCTAGCAATAATCGCAAAGGAGAATATCGATATCGAAAATCTCTTGAATCCATCGGAACGATATCATCCACTTCCCCCAACATTGGAAAATCCGCCGGAAAATGAATCCGATGCTCAAAAAACATCTCACATCGAGAGGAATATTCGAGAACAAAAGAGATTCGATGATGAAGAAATGGCCTCAATAAAGTCAGAAACCAAGAACTTCAATGGCATGAGACTTGAAGAGGTGGACCAAAAAATTCAGATCCATACTCTATCTAGCCCTCGAAAACGAAGGAAAGAAAATATTCGGCCAAAAGTTCACGAGAGTTAAAGTTCTACAAATTTCTTTCAAAGAATTTTGGGAAAATTTGTCCGTAGCTTTTGTGAGAAAGACAAACATAACCTTCGAAAGACACACGCTATTAAACAGAAAACAGAGGGACAGAGAATCATTAGAACCATTCTGAATTCTGGGGTGCACTTGCAGAAATGACAAAAAGATGTAACATTCCCACAGGAGAAGATGAATGGATTCGAGATATTTTTATCAATAACATGAAGAACTGGGACATCCAACGGAAACTTCTCATGGAAACCCTATTTCCATTAGGAGCCTTAAATGTAGCCCTGATTGACGAAAAAAGAATAACAAACCACATCAAAATGACGAGTACTTTTAAATCCAACGGATATTCTTCCAACAAATCTTTTAATCATTTTAATGTAAAAAGAGAACCCACCCTAAACATCGAAAGAACTAACACATGTATGAAATGCGGCGGAAATTTTACAAAAGGACATCTAGCGGTTTGCCCCGCTAAAGATACGACTTGTACGACTTGTAAATATCGAGGACATTTTACTAGACTCTGTAAATCACGCCGTAAAAATGAAAATATTGTGGATAGTCAAATTGTAAAAAATACAGACCATAATTATCCTTCGGAACAACTGGATGTACATATCGACCACGCCAATAGAGAATGCTGTGGAGTAATCAACGCATGGTCGGAGTCCGGACAGAGCGATAACGATGATTACTCTGTATTAAACGTGACAACTATCTATGACGACCACGGAAAGGAACTGAAGAAACTACTAAACATCGGCTTAGGAAATGAAAACCAAGTAATTCTCAATATACAGGTGGATTCAGCAAGCCCTGTAAGCTTCCTTAAACAGAATGTGTTACACGAGTTGAAGTTACGAGACCCTAATGTGAAAATTTATCCAGTGGATAAAGCGACTAAAGAACTCTATTGCGGATTTACGAACAATGCAATAAATATCACTGGAGATGTAATCGTCCCAATTTTCTCAAATGGATGGTCTCACAAGGAATGCCACTTCTTCTTAACTCAAGGTCATGAAAGAAACATCTTGGGAAACAACAATTTACCAAAAGTCGGAATCGAAGTTTCACAAAAACAATTCACATCACTCACCAACAAGAGAACTTGTAAGTCTATCAATTCAGTTACCTCACTTGACATAGATAATGAAATAGAAATGATTTCCAAAACCTTCAAACAATTTTTCCTTCGGATTGGAAAGATAAAAAATCAAACAAAAATAACACACTTTCACGAACCACTAAAGCCAATTCAACTAAAAGGCAGGAGGGTCCCTTTACACTTACTTGATTCAGTAAAATCAGAATTATACAGACTTAAATCCGAAGGACACGTCAAAAAATTAGAAAACTGTGACGAGGACAGATTTATTAGTCCGATAGTTATCACTTGTAAAAAAGACAAACCGATAAAGCTAGCTCTAGATTCAAAATTTATCAACAAACAAATTTACAAGAACAAATATCAGATGCCCAATATACACGAATTAGTGGATAATGTAGCGGCTCAAATTTCAAACAATTCAGCCGGAGAAGTATGGTTTACAAATCTAGACTTAAAGAATGCATATAGTCAACTCTCGCTAGACAATTTTACTAGCAACCAATGCAATTTTAGCCTAGTTGGCGGAGATATAACAGGCACTTATCAATTTTTAACTGGTTTTTACTGACTCGGCGATATGCCAAACGAGTTTCAAAGAGTCATGGACTCAACTCTGGGAAATATTCCTTTTACAAATTGTTACCTTGACGACATATTAGTCGCTTCCAAAGGAAGTTTTAACGATCACAAGAAAATTGTTTATAAAATTTTATCAACGCTAGATAGTTACAATTTCGCAGTTAAATGGTCGAAATGCAAATTCTTTCAAAAAGAAATCGAATGGCTTGGCTTTAAAATATCGAAAACCGGAATCGCCCCACTATTCGATAAAACCAAGGCAATCAAAGATATTCCAATTCCAAAGAATCTAAAAGAGTTAAGATCATTCTTCGGGTATTTACTAACGTGTGTCAATAGGTTCTCGAAATTTTTGTTCGTCCACATAACGACAAGAATGACTGCTAAAGTAATCTAAGAGTTCTTGGAAAACTATTTTGCCTTGCATGTAAAACTGAGGCATATAAGAAATGATCAAGGGACAGGGTTCGTAGCCAAATTTATTGGCAATTTCTGCACTACAAATCATATGAAAGCAATTAGTGCTCCCGTGGGTCAACACAGGATCACCGGATTGATGGAACAGTTGATTCGTACTCTGAGAGAACGGCAGAGGGCCTAATGTGAAAATTTATCCAGTGGATAAAGCGACTAAAGAACTCTATTGCGGATTTACGAACAATGCAATAAATATCACTGGAGAGGTAATCGTCCCAATTTTCTCAAATGGATGTTCTCACAAGGAATGCCACTTCTTCTTAACTCAAGGTCATGAAAGAAACATCTTGGGAAACAACAATTTACCAAAAGTCGGAATCGAAGTTTCACAAAAACAATTCACATCACTCACCAACAAGAGAACTTGTAAGTCTATCAATTCAGTTACCTCACTTGACATAGATAATGAAATAGAAATGATTTCCAAAACCTTCAAACAATTATTCCTTCGGATTGGAAAGATAAAAAATCAAACAAAAATAACACACTTTCACGAACCACTAAAGCCAATTCAACTAAAAGGCAGGAGGGTCCCTTTACACTGCTTGATTCAGTAAAATCAGAATTATACAGACTTAAATCCGAAGGACACGTCAAAAAATTAGAAAACTGTGACGAGGACAGATTTATTAGTCCGATAGTTATCACTTGTAAAAAAGACAAACCGATAAAGCTAGCTCTAGATTCAAAATTTATCAACAAACAAATTTACAAGAACAAATATCAGATGCCCAATATACACGAATTAGTGGATAACGTAGCGGCTCAAATTTCAAACAATTCAGCCGGAGAAGTATGGTTTACAAATCTAGACTTAAAGAATGCATATAGTCAACTCTCGCTAGACAATTTTACTAGCAACCAATGCAATTTTAGCCTAGTTGGCGGAGATATAACAGGCACTTATCAATTTTTAACTGGTTTTTACTGACTCGGCGATATGCCAAACGAGTTTCAAAGAGTCATGGACTCAACTCTGGGAAATATTCCTTTTACAAATTGTTACCTTGACGACATATTAGTCGCTTCCAAAGGAAGTTTTAACGATCACAAGAAAATTGTTTATAAAATTTTATCAACGCTAGATAGTTACAATTTCGCAGTTAAATGGTCGAAATGCAAATTCTTTCAAAAAGAAATCGAATGGCTTGGCTTTAAAATATCGAAAACCGGAATCGCCCCACTATTCGATAAAACCAAGGCAATCAAAGATATTCCAATTCCAAAGAATCTAAAAGAGTTAAGATCATTCTTCGGGTATTTACTAACGTGTGTCGATAGGTTCTCGAAATTTTTGTTCGTCCACATAACGACAAGAATGACTGCTAAAGTAATCTAAGAGTTCTTGGAAAACTATTTTGCCTTGCATGTAAAACTGAGGCATATAAGAAATGATCAAGGGACAGGGTTCGTAGCCAAATCTATTGGCAATTTCTGCACTAGAAATCATATGAAAGCAATTAGTGCTCCCGTGGGTCAACACAGGATCACCGGATTGATGGAACAGTTGATTCGTACTCTGAGAGAACGGCAGAGGGCATGCTCCTTTCAGCAGCCACGGCCGTCCCTAAAATCTAGTTTAAGCAAAATTATGTACAGCATATGATCTACTGCACATCAATTTTTACGGTGTTCTCCTTTCGAAGTACATTTTGGAGCATACGGTTACTCTGGACTCGGAAAAGTTGTTTATAAAACGACATTTTGATAGGTTTGGAGAAAAACCATCGCATGTTTGGGGACAAGATACTTCAACCCAACTAGCGATGCCAAAGGCACCAGAAGGCAGTACAGATGCCAAAGATCACTCAACTAAAAGAAGTTGCCCTAAAAGCTACACAGGAGAGGATGGACGACGAGTAGGCAGCCACACGAAGCAGCGGTACCCGTCTCAAACTCCTTCATTATTGATAGCTCATCGGATGGCCTTGCGCCAAAAAAGTCAACGGTGGTCAACAAACCGAACCCATTACAAGAATCAAAGCCGACCAAATCTGACACTGAGCGACCCAATCAAGGGATCAGAAAGTCGCAATCTGAAACGCGAATACCAAAATTGAAAAAATTGACGCATATACGAGTTCGGAAGAAAACAGCGCTGTTAGGATGGACATGGACAAAACGCAAAGTGCAAGTCCAGGTTCAACAGATAGCCCAATTATGCTATCATCTGCTGAAAACGTATATGAAAGTCAAGGAAGAGAGCATGTTTCGACCAATATGGAAGGGCTCATCTCCAAGAAAATCAGAAGGAGGATGGGAGGCCTCACCGACCATACCAAAACTCCTTAAGATCAAATTTTTCTGTAGTTCACGAACGGCTCAGAAGGCCGGTATCTCGACCACATTCAGCCCGAATAGGACATCGAAATCGTTATTATGACATCAGAACAGGTTGAGAGAACGTAGGCCGCCTAAATTCTTAGTGGAAGGGTTTTTCACGAAAGCGATATCAACCGAGCATAAAACGGTAAATGCAGTGTTCACGCGAAACTATTCAGAGATTGAAGGTAACGAATTGCCAGAGGCAGCAACTAATTGTTGGAGCCGGAAACGTTCAGTCGGCCCAGAGGTGGGACGCATAATGGTGGAGATGGGAGTGCCAGGAGTCAGGATGATACTCCAAGGAAGATCCGTAGCCCGAAGAAAAGGAAGGCCAAAAATCTGTAGGCCGCTAAATCTGTAGAGTGTATTGTCAGGAAGATTATATGCAGGACGACATATCGAGGTTGAACAAGAAAATGTCGGTTATTTTGTCGAAGTTCTGGACAAGTTCCGCAAGATTGTCACGCACACTTAACGAATACTTTCGGTCTAGGATAACCAAGGAAACACGATTGATGAAATTAAAGTTCAGGGGATTAGAGACCCGTATCCGAAACCGTCCTAGAAAATCAGCTCTGGGAAAATTAGTAGATTTGAAATTCAAAAGAACGAGGGAGGGTTAGACAAAGCTGGCCAGGAGTTATTGGAATGTATTGATTCGGATTCAGGTGCCTCCGCAACTACTCCGCGAAGAGTTTGAATTATGAGCCCCCGGGAAATTTCCGACTAACCTGTTGTACCACAGGAGCAAACAGTATCAGCAGAGCCGGGGGCTAATGTGGAACAAGGAGTGTTTACGAAAAAGTGACACGAAAAAGAGACTAGACCTGAAGATTGGAAAGACGTAGTTGTTGAAGCCGCAATGTTGACCGATGCCAGTAAAGAGTCTCATAAACAATCCGATGTTATCATCGGAACAGCGGAATTGGCGAATATCAGTGGCGAGTCTAGTGTCCCAATGGCGATCGACGAATTGGACATCGCCGACAAAATGTCTGCTATCAGCATGACAGAGGAGGATCAGAGGCAAGTACTGGAGAAGCTAGAAAACTTGCGAAAAACTTAAATTTTCCCTGACGTAGAGAACATAAAGGGGATTAGATTTGCCTTATAATACCGATGGTACTAATGTCTTCAGTTTAAAAAAAGTTTTGAAACTATATAACTTTGACGCAGTGTAGGGAGAGTGTAGTGGAGACTGAAGACTATGCATGACGTATTTATATTATGCTATTACGTAACTGTTTAGTAATGCCAAAGTCATTGTCCTAGTTAGCATAACCATCTGTTACCGCCGGTGGCGCTGGTCTTCGAGTTAAATTCAATTTGGTTTTCTTACGTTTTACTCAAATATGTAACAACGAGGTTACTTTCACAGAAAAAAATGTATGCTTGAACTTGGATCCTGTTTTGTACACTGCACAACACACTGATTTCCATAATTGAGCAAAAAAAAAACTCTTGGAAAATCTGCCCACGTAGGTGTGAACTGAAAAAAAAATGAAGAACGAGTCAAAGAATTACCTTCCAAAAAATTTTCAAAGCTAGACGTCAATGTCTAAGCTATAATAAATTGGTTTCTACCAATCAAAGTGGATTTATCAAACTTTGTTATTATGGTCTAAAGATGTCATATTTATATTAGTTTTCCTATTCGACGTTGAGTTTTTTTGTTGAGCAAGGCTCTTTCTGATGGTTGGATGCCAATATCGGATGAATCAAAGTCCTACATGCAAAAAATGGCATCGAATCGCAAACAAAAAAGATTTTTGAGGTTCAACAAAACAGCTTAATTTCAAATTGGAAAATTGATATCAATGTACCATCCTTAGACCTTCTTAACAGCCTTTGATAAGTCCACTTCGGTTGGCAGAAACCATTTTTTAAACAATTTTGACATTTACTCCTAGCTTCAAAACGTAGTATTGAATGTGACTCTTTGACTCTCCTGTCATACCGTTCTTTGGTTAGTTTATGTTGGTACCTCCCATCTTAGATACCGCAATGTGGTGATGTGCCGGAGTGTGGACGAGGAACTGGGCATGCGTATTCAGAAGAATGGTCCAGTGGTTGTGACTGAAGTAAAAGCAGAAGGTGGTCAGACAGCCGCTTACAGGGCAGGCATACGTGAGTATAGTCGTCTATCTCAGCGAAAATTTTGATGTACAATTATGTTAGGTACTCACATCACAGAATGCGGGAAGGATGTTCGGATAGTTAAACAAACATCCTTCTCACACCCATTTTTGCCCCTAGAGGCTTTGTTTTCCTCATAAAATCAGGTCATGAGGTTTGGTTGGACCGTGGAGTCCCTCGAAAAAAAAATTTTGAGATCCATCCAAATTGTTTTAAGATCCGCAAAATTTCAAATTTGTTTCAAAGTAGACATCTGTTAAAAACAGGAGACATTTCATGAAACTACGTGGTTTCAAAACTTGTCATGACTTTCCTCTGTTTTCTTTTTTAGTTACAGTTTACTCTATTCCAATCTACACAATATCATTTTGTTGTGTTTCTTTCTACACTCCAGATATTTAATAGTTTTCTGCCATTTTAACTTAAGTTCAAATTATGCCTGTTTGAATTATTCGGTACATGGGTCGACTACATTCAAAAATATTATCAAACAATTCGATTAATAGAGTCTATGGGAAAATAGTTATGTGAAAAATATTCAATTTTATACAAACAAACTTTCAATGACCTTGTTTTTACATAATTTTGGATACATTTATTGTTATTTTTACGTGCCCCTGGATGAGAGCCCCATGTTGTCACTGTTGCGAATCTTACCATTCGTCTGATTTCATTTAATTAGTCTTAAAGTTTCTTAACTGGTTAATTTAGATATGACCTTGTTATCTTCATTCTCTCCGACGGAGAGAACGACCGCTCACTTTTTAATGTTTTAATTTAGAGATTAATTCACTTTTTAAACATATCTTATTTGTAACTAAGTAGAATTATCCCTAACAAAGAAACATTTTATCATGGCGCAGTCAAACAGCAACGAATCAAACGTGAGAGGTATACCTTCATTTTGGCAAAACCACACAGTGGACCCACCAATTCCTTGGGAAGAGTGGAGCGATCTATTCCAGCTAGCAATAATCGCAAAGGAGAATATCGATATCGAAAATCTCTTGAATCCATCGGAACGATATCATCCACTTCCCCCAACATTGGAAAATCCGCCGGAAAATGAATCCGATGCTCAAAAAACATCTCACATCGAGAGGAATATTCGAGAACAAAAGAGATTCGATGATGAAGAAATGGCCTCAATAAAGTCAGAAACCAAGAACTTCAATGGCATGAGACTTGAAGAGGTGGACCAAAAAATTCAGATCCATACTCTATCTAGCCCTCGGAAACGAAGGAAAGAAATTATTCGGCCAAAAGTTCACGAGAGTTAAAGTTCTACAAATTTCTTTCAAAGAATTTTGGGAAAATTTGTCCGTAGCTTTTGTGAGAAAGACAAACATAACCTTCGAAAGACACACGCTATTAAACAGAAAACAGAGGGACAGAGAATCATTAGAACAATTCTGAATTCTGGGGTGCACTTGCAGAAATGACAAAAAGATGTAACATTCCCACAGGAGAAGATGAATGGATTCGAGATATTTTTATCAATAACATGAAGAACTGGGACATCCAACGGAAACTTCTCATGGAAACCCTATTTCCACTAGAAGCCTTAAATGTAGCCCTGATTGACGAAAAAAGAATAACAAACCACATCAAAATGACGAGTACTTTTAAATCCAACGGATATTCTTCCAACAAATCTTTTAATCATTTTAATGTAAAAAGAGAACCCACCCTAAACATCGAAAGAACTAACACATGTATGAAATGCGGCGGAAATTTTACAAAAGGACATCTAGCGGTTTGCCCCGCTAAAGATACGACTTGTACGACTTGTAAATATCGAGGACATTTTACTAGACTCTGTAAATCACGCCGTAAAAATGAAAATATTGTGGATAGTCAAATTGTAAAAAATACAGACCATAATTATCCTTCGGACTAACTGGATGTACATATCGACCACGCCAATAGAGAATGCTGTGGAGTAATCAACGCATGGTCGGAGTCCGGACAGAGCGATAACGATGATTACTCTGTATTAAACGTAACAACTATCTATGACGACCACGGAAAGGAACTGAAGAAACTACTAAACATCGGCTTAGGAAATGAAAACCAAGTAATTCTCAATATACAGGTGGATTCAGCAAGCCCTGTAAGCTTCCTTAAACAGAATGTGTTACACGAGTTGAAGTTACGAGACCCTAATGTGAAAATTTATCCAGTGGATAAAGCGACTAAAGAACTCTATTGCGGATTTACGAACAATGCAAAAAATATCACTGGAGAGGTAATCGTCCCAATTTTCTCAAATGGATGGTCTCACAAGGAATGCCACTTCTTCTTAACTCAAGGTCATGAAAGAAACATCTTGGGAAACAACAATTTACCAAAAGTCGGAATCGAAGTTTCACAAAAACAATTCACATCACTCACCAACAAGAGAACTTGTAAGTCTATCAATTCAGTTACCTCACTTGACATAGATAATGAAATAGAAATGATTTCCAAAACCTTCAAACAATTATTCCTTCGGATTGGAAAGATAAAAAATCAAACAAAAATAACACACTTTCACGAACCACTAAAGCCAATTCAACTAAAAGGCAGGAGGGTCCCTTTACACTTACTTGATTCAGTAAAATCAGAATTATACAGACTTAAATCCGAAGGACACGTCAAAAAATTAGAAAACTGTGACGAGGACAGATTTATTAGTCCGATAGTTATCACTTGTAAAAAAGACAAACCGATAAAGCTAGCTCTAGATTCAAAATTTATCAACAAACAAATTTACAAGAACAAATATCAGATGCCCAATATACACGAATTAGTGGATAACGTAGCGGCTCAAATTTCAAACAATTCAGCCGGAGAAGTATGGTTTACAAATCTAGACTTAAAGAATGCATATAGTCAACTCTCGCTAGACAATTTTACTAGCAACCAATGCATTTTTAGCCTAGTTGGCGGAGATATAACAGGCACTTATCAATTTTTAACTGGTTTTTACTGACTCGGCGATATGCCAAACAAGTTTCAAAGAGTCATGGACTCAACTCTGGGAAATATTCCTTTTACAAATTGTTACCTTGACGACATATTAGTCGCTTCCAAAGGAAGATTTAACGATCACAAGAAAATTGTTTATAAAATTTTATCAACGCTAGATAGTTACAATTTCGCAGTTAAATGGTCGAAATGCAAATTCTTTCAAAAAGAAATCGAATGGCTTGGCTTTAAAATATCGAAAACCGGAATCGCCCCACTATTCGATAAAACCAAGGCAATCAAAGATATTCCAATTCCAAAGAATCTAAAAGAGTTAAGATCATTCTTCGGGTCAACTAATCAGTACATTAAATTTGTACCAAATTTAGCATCCCTCGGAAGCCCGCTTAGACCTCTTTTAAACAAGAAGTCAATTTTCCTTTGGAATGAAGATCACTCAAAAGCATTCGATAAGATTGAACCAGAAATAGTAAATCTTACTGAAAACACCCACTTCGACGTAAAAAAGCCCACGAGAGTAAAAACCGATGCTTCACATAATGGGTTAGGTGCATCCCTTGAACAACTCCATGAAAACGTTTGGAAAACAGTGTCATTTGCTTCAAGATTTTTAAATCCTCATGAATCCAAATATTCAACAAACGAATTAGAGTTATTAGGAGTTATATGGGCGGTGGAACATTACAAAAATTATCTCTACGGCTCCGAATTCGAAATTATTGCCGACCACAAAGCTCTCCTTTCCCCTTTGTCACCTAATCACGGAAACAAAACGTACCATAGCCGATTGACAAGATGGGTAGATCGTCTTCTACCATTCAATTTTACTATCAAGCATTTAGCGGGAAAAGATATGGGTTTTACCGATTTAATTTCAAGTCTCCTTTGGGTAAAGCAACTTCTCCATCACATTACGACGAAGAATTCGTAGTTGCAACTACCAAAAAAATATATAATGCACTCAATCCTTTGGATAATGAGAATTCATTACGTAATTCAATTAATTCAATTTCGGAAAATTCCCAGTACACGAAATTACGAAATCACGTAATAATTACAGCATTGAATTTCGTCAATTCTTCCATCTCAATCTGCAATCAAAAACACTATAGAACAGAATTTTGTAACTCTAAATGTATTCCCTCGGATTTCTCAAGCACAGATTCTACTAAAATCCTTCTATCAAATTCAGCCTTCATTTATTTTTTAATTATTAACAGTAGCTTAATTAGTAATCCTTCGGATTTCAAACTTATAAATAGTGTAAATATGTCAAATAACCAAATTGTAGTAAATCCGTCCACCTCCGGGATACAGGTCTCTATTGATTTCCAAATTTCCTCAGAGCACAAAAAGTTAGTAACTAAATTTCGAGAAAACCTCAAGCTACTTGAAAGACCTCTGGATTTAAATACTTTATTCAATGCAAAGTTGGTTGCTTTATTAACGGAAGATGATAAACCCAATTGTGAAGGCTTTACAAAAAAAAGTAGAAAACATCAACGCAAATTCCCGTTACTTACACCAATTTTCGAAAGACCTTCATGAATCCGACGGACTATTATATATGGATGGAAAATTGGTTATTCCGTTTACACTTAGAAACGCCGTTTTAAAAACTTTACATGAATCTCACCCTGGCCAATTCGGTATGAAATACCTGGCACAATATATTTGGTGGCCACATATAAACCGGCAAATTTACTTCCATGGGATTAATTGCACACAATGCACCCAAACCGGTAAGAATATAAAAAACATCATACCAACTACACAAATTAGCGAACTTCCTACTTTATTTAAACCTTATGAGGAATTAAACCTTGATTTTGCCGGTCCATTAGATAACAATTGGGGAAACAATAAATACATCTTATTATGTATAGATCGTTTTTCAAAATTCCCATCAGCAAAAATTACCTCTTCAACGTCATCAAACACGGTAACCGAATTCCTTCAAGATTATTTTTATCTCCATGGGATTCCTAACTCTATTCGTGTTGACCACGCATCCTGTTTTACTAGTCAGGATTTTAAATTATTTTGCAATTCTCTTAATATCAAATTAATATTTTGTATAGTTGGGGACCATCGTTCTAACGGTCTTGTAGAAAAACTTGTTCATACTGTAAAAATCAAATTATTAGCAATGTCTTTATAACAACAAAAACCTACATTACAAACTGCCATTTCGAAAATCATTTGGAATTTACGATCTTCCTTTCAATAAAAAATAAAATGCTTACCGTTCGAAATACACTTTAATAGAAAACCGAACACGATCTGGAAGCAATTGGCATCTAGTAAATTATCCGGTGGATTTTTAGACAAAGGGAAGTCGATCTTAAGCAGAGAAAGGGCCCTTGACTGGAATGCTGACGATCGGATAGAGGACGGATACAAAGACTTCCTTGTACCGAAAAAGAACCAGTCACCATTGGAGAAAGGCTACGACTCAGACCTTCCTACAACCTCAAAACCTTCATCTTCCCGAGTGTCCTTAAACAGTCCGTTTAAAGGTAATTTACTACGAAAAACCAACGGAAGTTTAAATGGAAATCCCTTCTATAAACAACTAGGTCAGAAAATAATAAACTCAACAAAATCCACGGTTGAACTATCCGACGGAAAAATCATTAGAAAATCGGACATCGCCATCTCAAAGTCTAAATCCTCTACAATCCGTTCGTTCAAAGGAAATATCTCATTTCCCTCTTTTTCTAACAGTGATTTACATTAGGTACAAGAAAGACAAACAAAGCGAAGACACAACAGACGCGGAAACCAGACATTAAGACAGGACGACACACAGAGTCTTTCACCCCGGTCACCACCAGATCTAGAGGAACAAAACAGCCTACTAAATTCAACAAATCGAAGCGAAACCGAAATAAAGCCTCGACTTCGAACACAAGATACTTAGTAGGTGACGAATCCATGTTCATTCCGTCGGATACGTCGGACATTAGTGATTGGGAATGGATTGCGGGCGGTTTTCCATGCAGAGAAATGATAAGAAAACGCTTCATTTCAGATAACCTCATTTTTAACGAAGAACCTTCCCCATCATTAGCTCCTCAAACATATCAAGCTAATATAAAATCTGAGATTTTAGACGAACAACTTCAATCTACAGATACAGCGGAATGCCCAATTAGTATAAAGCCAGCACCTCAAACTACCTCACACCCACCTGGCGAATCTTCTACCGCTACGACAACAGAGGGCCCAAACACTCCTTCGGATTCAACAAAAACATTGGAAGGAGAAAATCCGGTGGAATTTCCAGTCTTTAAGATAGAGGACTCCTCTAACGAAAGTGCAACTAGTGAGGAAAGACATCCTAAGGAAATCACTATCACCGGTAACGAATTTAAATTAAGACGTTCAAGTCGAAATGTTGGTCCCCCACAATTCTATGGTAAGCCATATTACATAGATATTATAGACGAGTTCGAAAACCAACCAGGCTCCGCGAATAACCCTAAATTTCTGGACGAGGGCGACAGCTCGGGCTCCCCCACACTAACCTTCAGAGAGATTCCCTCGGAGAACCAGGCCCACATTTGCGACACTCTACCGGAGGACCGCGCACCGGGCCCAGCGTACCCTTCATCTCCCGATCAATTCTCCATCGCCTCTACTGGGAAAATAGTTATGTAAAAAATATTCAATTTTATACAAACAAATTTTCAATGACCTTGTTTTTAGATAATTTTGGATACATTTATTGTTATTTTTACGTGCCCCTGGATGAGAGCCCCATGTTGTCACTGTTGCGAATCTTACCATTCGTCTTATTTCATTTAATTAGTCTTAAAGTTTCTTAACTGGTTAATTTAGACATGACCTTGTTATCTTCATTCTCTCCGACGGAGAGAATGACCGCTCACTTTTTAATGTTTTAATTTAGAGATTAATTCACTTTTTAAACATATCTTATTTGTAACTAAGTAGAATTATCCGTAACAAAGAAACATTTTATCAGTCACAAATTATATTTTCTGTTGCATGAAAAAGTGCTTATAATACAACTTTCATTTATAAAAACTATAACACTAGCGGTTTTGTAATACAAAAGTTCCAAAACTGAGGAAAAAGGTTCTTGTTCTCAGTTTTTACTTTCAATCAGTTCTATGTTCAAATGACTAATTTGCAACAAAATTTACTGTGATTGCAAAAATTTTTAACGTTTTCCCAAAGTGTAGTCCAGGTACAGACCTTGACTACATTTATTAATTATAATTTTATTATAATCAATAAATCAAGATTGTAATGAATCAATACTTTGGCCCATTTGGCTTATTTCACGCCGAATTTTAATCCGCGATATTTTTGCTGTTCAATCAATTGGAAGCAAAAAAAAAGGTTGGCAGAGGGCAAAAATTGGCAGAGGGCAGGTTTATGCTTTCTCATTTGGAGAAATTCACACTAGTTGTTATTTGTAGGGCACAATACAAACACATTAAGCGAAACACAAAAACTTTTATGGACAGGTTCTATCAATTATGGAAAAATGCTTCTCATGCCTATCGCGAGTCATATCGTTTCATGTGTGAAAAAATGTTATTCAAACAACTCCATAAAAAGTAATGAAGCTTGTCATGCTGTTAAAGTCTATTGATGTATCAAATTGTATAAAGTTGTATGAGACACAAAACTAGCAGTTAAAGTTATTTGACTAATATTTTGTCGACTCGAGTAAAAAACATTAAAGTACAGATATCAAAAATTCTTTAACTTTAGCCAGAGAATTTTTTTTGTTTGTGGAAAATTGATCGAACCAGCTCAGTATTTGCATCAACATCAATCAAATCAATCTAGTTATACCAACTGAAAATGTCCACAAAAAAAACTTTTTCAGTTATTACCGAACTGGAGTTGTAACGACGTGTCCGGGTGATATAAGTTGGTAGGCAGCTGCGAAAAAAAAATAGATTTCTTCGTGATGTGAAGAACATTTTGGCTATCTTTGATCTTCAGTTCAATTTTGTTCAAGAAATGAAGAAAGAGTTTTCTTTAAGTTTGCTCAAAGCCAAGGAAGAAACTGAACAAAAAAGGGGAATGTCGGCGGGATATTTTTCGTTTTTGTGCAACATCAGGTACCTGAAATAATTATTAAATAGATCGACAAATACATCCTTGCGTTTTTTTTCGGTCTTGATTCGAACGACAAAAATTATTTCAGAAAAATGTTCTGAGTGTTGAGACAAACGGTTTTCGAAATTTTTGCGTTTTGGTCCAATTTTAGCGAATGATGCGGAGAGGCAGTCTTTTTTGTATTCAACCACAATCAGTTACCACATAGAATCAAAACAATCATTGAAAGTGGTCGAATAATAAATATATCAAGCCTTTTCAATCATGATCGAAACGACACTGAAAAAATTCAAGCAAATTTGCCTGCGTCGAAAAGAACACGTTGACGTGTTTGAGTTTTAGTCTAATTTCGAGCAATTAAAGCAAGCGAGTAGGTCTTGTATGAAAGAACAATTTTTTTAGGTAGTGGAAACTTGATTTTATTCCAGGAAAACTAGTAATAGAAGCTCAGTTTGTGCTCTATTTGCAAACAAGTTCTTATCATTTAGCGCTTTTTTACATCTGAGTTTAGTAATTACTTGTTTTGTCTGACATCTAGATAAAAACACTGTACTTTCAGCCGATGGGCGGGTTTATAGGGAGGGCAGAATTATGCCCCTTCAAGGATTCGACCTCCTCGCCATCAAAACGCCCCCCTTTTGGTACTGGATTGTGAACTCCGTGTAGGCTAACTGGCCCTAAAGTTTTCTTAAGGCGCCTTTGCTGCCAATGTATACTTATTTTGTGGGGTGAGCGCGCGCCAAAAAACCTGTTGTTTAAAACTTTCTAAAAAGTGTCTCAAAATGTCTTTTTGATCTATTTCTACCAAAGTTTGCCTGCGGTGAAAAGCATTTGGTCGGAAGATGGTATTTATGATGATTTGGGAGAGCTCGGAAAATCAATTTGGTCGATCTATAAAACGGTCGTCAGAATTTTTGAAACTGTTTTCGAAAAACCGCCCAACCCCCCCCCCCCCCCCCCCAACATTCGTGAAAATCCTATATCCGCCCCCTGAATTACAGTATAGTAACAAGGGATAGAAAAAACGTTCCTGTTAAGTGTTAATTCAACTGATTTCTAGTTCGCATAAATAAGACTCTGAACTCTGTTCGCATAAATAAGACTCTGTTTATGATTTGGAAACCGTTCAGTTCCACAGAGCAGAACCCTCTATCTGTTCACACCTTTCACTCAACACATAACAGCTAGACAGATCTAGACTGATTGACACGCAGGTACCAAATCACACTTAATTATACAGAGATAAGTAATAAATGGATAGCAACTAAATTGATTGACATGTAAATATGTAGCCCCTCACAATAGTGTGTCTTAAGCTTATAAAGATGGGTTTGGTAGCATCTATGGGATAAAGATAAATTTACGAATATATAAAAAAATTATTCTCTTTAGCTGGCATACATTGCCTAAATTTTAAGGTTTGATTATATGCACTACCTTGCTTTTCATAGAATTTGTGATAGAAAATTGGAATAAAATGATTTGTAGTGTCTGACTTAGAAATTGTTTATCAGATGTGGGCGACATGATAGCAGTGATCAACGGGGAAGATGTGTGGAATGAGCCACATGGCTATGTTGCGCAATTGTTACGTAATGATGGCCAAGTGAGCATGATTATTGCGTCACCTGTGTCTTCGTGTCTCAACAATGACTGCAAACAGATGATCATGGACTCTGGATATCTTTTCAAACATGACTCATCTCTAGGATGGCTCAGATGGTTTTTTGTGCTGAAGCAGGATGGAATTCTATACGCATACAGGTATATTCCAAAAAAAATGATCAATTGCAAGAAGAAATATTGCAAAAGTATATATATTTGCAAATGTTTACAGTCCTTATATGCTTTGAAAAACCAGCAAACTTTGGAAGAGTTCGGTACTTTTTCAAATACACTACACTAAGCAAACTAGGAGTCCCAAAAATATCGGCCAAACAAAATCAATAATTTGTCTAGGCAATGAATAGTTTTGACAAAATCAATCAGCTGTTGATTTATTGTTCAAATAATTTACTTTTAGCACAGTTGATAGAATTTTTTTCAGAACTGCCTCGGAGCTGATACCTTCATTTGTAATCCTAGTTACAAACTGCATTGTAGAGCGAAGTCCCGACACGAGCAAACCGTTCAGTTTCCAAATCATAAACACAGAGCAGAACCCTCTATCTGTTCACACCTTTCACTCTTCAGTCGATGAAGATTTCAGGCGGTGGATGAGGTCATTGACCTCCAGTTCGAAACGGGAGTCGGAAAGTATATGGTGTGGAGTTTTCCGATTCGAGTTCAGCTGCTCGGTGGGTCAAATTATGAACCCAGAATGCAGTGGTTTTATAACTATATCATCGTCAATTGTGGAACAAAACTATCCTCAACCCTCGTCTAATTACCATCAAAATTGTCCCAATAATGTTTCCCGAAAGTGTTATTGCACTCTCAAAGATGCAGTTCTTTATTGCTACGAGAGTCTAGATTCGCTTCAAAGTGACGGAGCTATGCTATTGCATGGGTATACTATTAGCAACGAAGCCGACGATTTGACAGCTTTGTTGATTCCAATACCCGAAATAGCCCATCCGCCATTAGCTCTGCATTTTTCTTCCCCGAGCGAGAAACATCGATGGAGTTTCGCAATTAGAAACTCATTGCAGCTTTGGATAAATGGGCTAATTCGATAAATTCAAAATCAACTATGCTTATTTTTCTCATTTCATTTTTGCAATGTTATGAAAGCGCCTAAATAGCTGTAACAATCCAGAAAAAAAACCAGAACCAAAAAAAACTGAAGTCTCTAAAAGACTTATTATCAGTTGTTGCAAATAAATTAAATCCGCGGATCTTGTTAACTATCCCCCCTCCTATGGTATCTTCTAATGAAAATCCCCCCTCCTACTGAGTTAGGACCGATGTGGTTAACTCATAGAGTAATTTCGGATAGGGTACACCGTCTGCTCGTCACGCTATCTTATTTTCGGCCGGATAGATTCGTGCAACTTCTTAGTCTAATACCGATCCTAATCTTACTCTTATACTTTCTAGTCTCATGGTGTTTAACTAGTCTCTGCTAGGCTCAATAGATCTAGGGTATACTGGTTTGTTGCGGCTGCTGAAGTTCTCTTGGAGAGACAACTAATTTCTAAGTTAAATTCAAATCTCTCTGGTGCTGAAATTACAAGTAATTTCAGCACTTACAAATAAGTGGGTTGTTAGTTAGATGGATTATGACTGGTTAATATTAAATATTTTACAGTGGTAAAATATCCAGTTTATCCAATTATAAAATGTAGTTTAGATCAGGTTCCACCCATCCGGGTTTTACAGAGTTTTTTAGAATTATCTTTCTGCAATTCAAAGGATGGATGATGAACGTTGGTATTCGGCGAACATCGTATTCTTGTCCGGTTCCTCTTGTTAGGGAAGTTCCAGGACGCTGGAGTTTGGGGCATTAATCGTTGTGTCTTCTTGTGACAACGACTGTGTTTCCCAATGAAATCAATATGATTTCAAAATGGTTTGCTATGACGGGTTTTTCTGTATTATGTAGAGAACTTGTTTTGTGTTCAACCTCGTCTGGGAATGGCGTGGAGATTGTGCGTGGAGGGGATGCCTTGTAACTCGGATCTGTACGTGTACTTGAACATCGAGGTGGTCATTGGTCTAGTTCAATGAAGTCCTTTTCTGCGAATTCAAGTCGTACTCTAAATCCTTTGAGTTGTGATTGTGGACGGCATATCGGTTGTGGTTAGCCATTCTTGTTCGAGTGTAGTGGGGTCATTTTGTCTTTGGATGTTCGTCTTTGTTGTTGTGTGCTGATCTACATACTGCAAGGTATAATTTACATTGTATAAAATTTTTATTAGTTCAGTTTTTTAATTATGAATTTAGTTAGTTGTTTTCACGAAAGCATTTTGTTTTAGTTCGGTTATTTTGAAGAGTTACTCACCCTTGAGTACCTCTTATTAAAAATAGAAGTGTGGTCACAAAGCGTGGATGTAGAGCGGTGGGTTAGGCCGGCTATAGAGCATGCTCAGGACGTCCTCTCTGGTGGGTTAGGCCAGGGGTGGGAGTATGATTTCGCGCTGTTTCTTTGAGAGGTCCTGTTATGTGATAACGTTTTAAGTTGGGTTTATGTTGGTCTTTCTTATGTTCCTTTGGTTGTGTCCTTTTTTCAAAAATCAAATTGTTTTTGTTATGGGTTTGTCTTTCGACTTTTTTGTGTTTTATTATTTCTTTCTTAGACTTTATAATAGTCTTCAAAAAAATAAATTATCCAGTTTTAAACTAGTTTAATCCGGTTTGGGTACCGTTGGTTTTCTTTTCTTAGTCATGCTGTTATTTTATGATTTGTGGTGTTTAGTAAGCTGCGTTGGTTAGTTTGTTTTAGTATATAATTCCTTTCCAACCGGGTTAAAGGAAAGTTTGAAACTTGTTATCGTGTGTTAGAGTTGTTGAGTGTGAAAACTTGAAACTGAAATTCATTATTTAAACAATTCTTCGTGGGCGAGCTGTGCGAGTTTGGATAGAATTCTTGTGCGAGTGAATGAAAATATCAAAAGGTTAGTACTGCTTTTTTATTTTATTAATTTATTACATAGAATTTCCATTTTACTGCTAGTTTTTGGGGAAATTTAAAGTTATAAATTTTCATCATATTTAAATTTACTGCTTTATGGGGGAATAATTTATAAATTAATTTACTACATTTGGTATAAATTTTATCAGAATATTTTGTGGAAAATATTAATGAAGTTTAGAATAATTTTAACAAGTTTTTATTTTTTATTTTTTTTTCTGTTTTTTGCAGATGATCGTGGTATGAAGACTAAAAATCTAAAAGAAAAATGAGTAAAGAATGGCTAGTATTGATTTAAATTTATTAGTAAAGAATAGTTGAAATTATACTTACCTGTTAATCGTCTGGGAAAAAACCGTGGGGGAAGATCTCGTGTATCATGTCTGAATTTGTTAGTAATTTTGCTAGTATGCGAATGATGTTTTTAGTTTGAAGCAGTGGCCAAAGCAATTGAAGTGCTTTAATAGTTTTTAGTTCTTCGGTGCCTACTGCAAACTCATAAGGTGTGTTTTGAATGAGAATTATAATTTTTGTGATTGTATTTAGTATTGTGAAAAAATTCTAATATAGGGATTTCTATAGGTTGGATAAATTCATGTGGGATAAGGAAGGGTCTGGATTCTTCAGCATTAAAGGTCTTCGTGATGGGACAAAATATATACATTTGTGTTATTGGGTCATATTTGCGGAGGATGCCGTGGAGGTTAGTATCTTTGATGCAATAGGTGAAATTTAGAAAAAATGGTGAAGTGTACTTCGAGTTAAGAAACTGAAAACGATGGTGTGGTTGTCTTGATGGAGTATGTAGATCAAAATGATTTTGTATGAAGCGATAGTATGTATATGTGTGAGTTTGTTTAGTGCGTAACATAATGTCATGTGAACAGTGCAAATTGCGTTCATGTGGTGCAAGGAAGTGAAAGGTTAGTGAAAATAATTGAAATTTTTCTTTAAAACTTTCGTACGCTTGCATATCAGTTAGTGCTTCAGAAATGATGTGATCATATTTTCTATCAAAAATATTGAGTGTGAATACATATGATGTTTTGATGAAGAATTTTTCTGTTAGTTGTGGGTTAGCGAAGCGGTCGTCATCTAAAAATTGGTCTTGATTAGTTCGGATGATATTATGATCGTAATATTCTAGTGTAAATTCGTTAGCTCGGGGTGCAGTGATTGTTTTTAGTGATTTTTTATATCCAATATAAGTAAATTGTCTAGGTGTTAGTGTTGCGGTGAGTCTATATAGCATATCTTTATTCTTCTCTATATCGCTATGAGTATTAGATAGTGGCAGGCAAAGGGGATTAGTAAAAAGATAATATGTTGTCTAATGAAGTGTAGGCATTAAAACATGTTCATCTACAAAACTACGTGTGTCGTTAGTGTCGTTAGGTGTGTTTAAGGTATATTGTGGAAATGAAGGTAAGGTGATTGCTAGAAAATCTTTTGTGTTGGTGTGGTGTGGATGATTAATATATTCGCGGGTTGTTCCTGGTTTGGTCGGGAATCGATGGTTTGGGAATTTTCTTTCAAAAGTGCGATAAGCTCGGTTAGTGCTATTTGATGATTCGGTGGATGTTGATGATTGTGCTAATGATGCAGTATAGGCTGAGGAGGGTGTAGGAGTAGGTGGGTTTGAGGATTCTATTGTGGATGAAATTTGATTGATTGTGAGGGTGTTAGGGTGTATTAGCTGTTGTTGTAGGGTGATAAAATTATCAAGTTCTTGGGAGATTTGGGGAGTATCGGGAGAATTAGATGATCGGTCGGAATGAAATGGAGAATAGGTTGGGGTTACTTGTAAAGCATAAGAGGGAGTAGAAACGGGCGGGAGTGGATTATTTGGTGGGATTGGTTGAAAAGGGGGCTTTGAAAAAAGTGAGGAGTTGGTTTGAAAATTATTGGATGGAGATGGTTCGGAGTCTGCAAATTCGTCAGGGGTTTCTATATTAGGGTTATTGAGTTGTGAAATGGAGTATAAAACTGAAATATCTGAATTAGTATCCGAATTCATGCTTGATGTTATATTACTAGTTGGAAAATCGGGTGGCGGGAAAGCAAAAAGTGGGATTATTGTTATTGGAGTGTTGAGGTTGGTTGGATGGGATTTTGAGCGGTGTAGGGATCCAAGTTGTCGGCTCATCGTGGGCTAAAAAAAAATTATTTTGAGACTGAAAAGCGGTGGTATGGGGTTGTTCTATAATTTGTTCATATGTATTATCATCTTGCGACTGATGTGTCATTATATGTTGTATGGGACTTTGCGATATGTTTGGTCTAAATTTTGGGTTATGTGTTATTGCTAGGTTTCGGAAATTACGTGGGACTAAGGATAATGGATGGCTATGTGGTAAGGGTGGCAACTGTGGTGCTGTAGGCGTTACTTCTATGTTATTATGTTCTTCGTTATATGTGTTCTGTGTTGTCGCTATTTTTGTATTATATTCTTTGATTTGTGCGTCTAGAAGAATTTTGTTAATTGATGATGAAAAAATTCCAAAAAATCCTGCAAATAGTATGCGTGCTACAATTGCTTGTCTATTTACTTGTGTGTGTATAGCGCATGTGTTATAGATTCCTTTTAAAAGTGAAAAAAGAAATCCTATAAAGTTAAACATTGCGTATAAGATAGTTAATTTTTCTAAGATGTAATAGGGCCATCCTAGAAAATCGAGAATTTCATTTTTTAGTGTAACAAAGCTAAAAATATTTATGGGTGAAAAATTTTGTGGTCTGTATTTTTCACCGTTTAGATATATATAGTCTTTAATGCCTTTAAAATATCCGCTATAATCTTGTGTATAGATATCTGCAAATCCTGCGGTTTCGGCAAGTTTGCGTAAGTTTTGGTCAATTGATTGTCTTTGTATAGTGTCCATTCGTGTTAATAATTCCTGGATTTATTGTGTTCTAATGTGGTGTTGGATATCAGATTTTGAATATATTCCAATTGATTGTAAATCAATATTTGGGTTACGAGCAATAGCTCTGATGCTTTCGGGTGAAAATTTTTTGAGTGATTGCATTAACGTGGGGTATGGGGTAAGAAGATAATATATATCTTCATCAGGGTTCAATTGTACTACATTGTGGCTATTCTCT